TTGGTGTTTTTGTGTTGGTGGTTTGGCTCGTTGCTGCCTGTCTTGATTGTCAGGCTCATCTCACGTACCCCCTATCTGAATTCGACTCGGTGACTTGTGCCTCTCGGCGCACATAGCGCCCATACCCGTGCAAAAAAAAAGGGGAAGCCAAGGCAATCAGAGTGCCGCGAGGTAGGAACGACAAAATCCCACCGCAAGCCTTCTCCTTTCACACGGAAGTCCGACATGTCCCAGTTGAACCCGGTATGAAGGGCGAGGCTCCACTAATCTGAACCGGAGTCTGCCTGACTGCTGCTTCTTGGAAGCAGGCAAAGTCGCACTCTATCTACCGTCAGATTTTAATAGGATAGGGACGGCCGCGTGCGTGAGCTGCCAGCAGCTGCGAACTGTTGATTTGTCCCAAACGGACGTCATTGAAATTTTGGGTTCAACCTTTGCACACTGCTCACAGCTACAGCAACTCAGCCTTTCCCGAAACTTACGCATCATTGAGCAAGAAGCCTTTCTTAAGTGCACCTCGCTGCAGGAAGTCTGCATCCCACCATCCCTGCTTTACATTGCTCGGCGTGCTTTTGCAGGCTGTACGCAGCTTCGAGCAGTTCGTAAACAAGGGAAAAGCAAGACATGGCGAGGTACATATGCCCGGCTCAATAGCTCAGGCTAAGCCATCATTTCGGCCCCAGTAACTACGTTACAGTGAGCCTGTAGGAATGAGAGCCTTAGCTTTCGCTCCTAAGAGGCGGGCGGTAGAGAATGGTAATGGAAGGTTGCCAGGGGGAACCTTAGTTCTCCTTGCAGCGGCCACGCCATGACCATTGCTGTACAAAGAGGCACAAGCACCATGCTAGGATAGGTCCATGTTTCACTGGTTTCACCCGGCCTTGCATGCAACAGGAGACTTTTTGCATCTCAGTGCCGCTCTCTCTTTTTGAAACAGAGAGTACCACAATGGCACTCCTTGAATGCTAAGGGGTGCAAAGGTGACCTCCCTTCGGGGGGGACGGCATCACCATCGTCAGCAAACCCCTTTCGTTGTCTCTGCCTCCACTGCCTGACAATCGACATGCCTCTCGTCTCTGTCGCGCAATCAGTTGAAAGGGTTGTGCAACGAGATGGGCCTTTTCCATGGCTTGCCAGGCAGAACAGCAACTGACTCCCCTGGGCAAGGATCAGACTGGCTGACAATAAACAATGCAGGTCTTGCAAAGCACCTGATCATCGCTTTTGCCACTCGATGCAGTGGCCCTCTTGGTCACAGCTTGGTGGGTGGGGCGAGGCCCCTTTGATAGGCTCCGCTGCACTCCGCTCTTGCGCCGACCATGTCGACCGACTTTCATTGTGAATTCAGGCCCTTAGTTAGTTAACAGTCAGCTTTTGCCTTTTTCACATGTCTCACCCTGGTACAGAGGAAACGCGCTTAGACGAGGGGGAATGGTGGCTTTTTGGTTTCTGGTTCTTGTTTCGGTTTGGGGGTTTTTGCTTGTGTTGGGTTGCTTGTGTTCTTTTCCCCCTCATCATGTCGTGTTTCTTTCCCTTTCAATGATGACCTGGGCACTCCGCCCACATGGCGTCCGCACTCGTGGAAAAAATAGTTCTTGTCCATCAACGAACTGCAACGAAGAAGTAGGGGCGTGTGCACAGTGAAGCATGCTGAGACCAGGTAAAAATCTCGCGGTAGTGGGCAACACTGTGCCGCCAGTGGTACTTTGCAAGAAGAGAATTAGGTGGGCTTTGCAACTTGGCATTGTAAAGTCTCTTCTCGAAAGCATGATGCACCTTCAAGGGTGCGCGCGAGTGCATTGGCATGGTCCATAAGGTTCAAAATTGGACTCATTAAGTCAGGTAGCTGGCACGACGGCTGGCAGCAATGAAGGCGGAACCTGGTAGGCAACGATTGGGAAAACCACAGGCTTCAAAACCGGAATTTCCACAACTCCGAGAGTGAAGGACAGTGTGAGGTGACCACCAGGGTTCAAAAATTGAGATCTCTTTCGTGCCACCACCCCAGGTTGCGGTTTTTCTTTTAGGGTTGCTTGTTTGGTTTTGGTTGGGGTTGGTGTTTGTTTTGGTGGTCCTTTTGTGTTCTTCTTCACAGCAACCTGAATAGTAACTCTCTCTTCACTAGCGCAAGATGACCTGTGCAACCTCTGCACACATGGCGTCTCCACCCGTGCAAAAAAAACCCAGCAAAGCTGTTCAGAAGTCACCGCTGGAAGTCTTGCAAGTGGTATCCTTGTCCTCCTCGCCTTTGGGGGGAGTTGACATCTGCCGCAGTGGCCTTCTTTCGCAACCAAATTGATCTTAGGCTGCACTGCTGAAACTGTAACCGACAGTTTGGAGCTTTCGGAAGCATTTCGCATTGGTTTTCCCTGGCGCCTTTCAACTTTACCGAGGAAACCCCTGACTTTGGTTTGCGTGACTTCGACTTGCACTCTTGCATGTACGAGCTACTTGACAGGTTGCCCCTGCGTTTTGCGTGTTTTGTTTTTGGGGGTTTGTGTTTTTGTTTGTTTGGGGGTTTTGTTGTTGTGTCTCTTCCTGTTGGTTGCAACCTGGTTTGTAGCTCCATCTTAACTCGACTAAGGCTTGTGCAGAACCTGCACACACAGCGCCTCCACTCGTGCAAAAAAAAAGACTTGCACTCTTGCATGCATGATCGCGAGGTGGCTTACAATGCTTTCCAAATGCAATTACGTCCACAGCGTCCTGATTCAGGACGCATCGCTGCCTGCAAGAAAGAACCAGGAAAGACATGAGACCTGTGCAGCGAAACAATAACTCGCGGTCCACATGAACTGAGAGCCGGTGCTGAATTCATTGCCTGTTTCACCTTCTCTTCTTTTGGTCGACACGGCTGCTCGAGCTACACACTAGGTTGCGGTGTTGGGTGTTTGTTTGGTCTTGTTGTTTGTTTGTGTGTGTTTGGGTTTGGTTGCTTGGTGGTTTGGCCTTGCAACCTGGATAGTAACTTTTTTTTGCACGAGTGGAGGCGCTGTGTGTGCAGGTTCTGCACAAGTCACCTTAGTCGAGTTAAGATGGAGCTACAAACCAGGTTGCAACCAACAATTGCAACCTGGATAGTAACTCTCTCTTCACTAGCGCAAGATGACTGTGCAACCTCTGCAAACATGGCGCCTCCACCCGTGCAAAAAAAATAGCGGTCGAGTTCTCGAAGCGCGGCGCGAAGTTGTCTTTGAAGTCCTTAGGCCCACCGCCGGCGCCATTCGCCGTTGCACCAGCTGCAGCGGAAGATGAGGTTCCCCTCCGCGATGGAGAGCCAGTGCCCGACATGAAGGCGCGTCGCGGGAGCCTCCTTTTTGGGAGGCTCCACTACCAATGTGAAGATGTGGAAACACGAAAGTGAACACACCTGTCGTGACGGACCGCACGAAGTGTCGTCACGGAATGCGGAAATGATCTTTTGCATGAGCACGGGACAGTTAAGTGGCTCAAGAGGCCCCAGAGGCTGATTTGGACCAGAGGCGTCGAGCGGCTGAAGTACCAAAAGCTCGTTGAGCGGCGCTCAACTCACATTTGCGACATATATATATATAGTTATATATTCATGCCGAAGTCTAGGATTTCAATTTCCAAGTCTGGGATTTCAACTTCCAACTCTGCCTTTGAATGCTGATTTGTTGGAAGACTAAGTGATCAGTGCCTTTTTTTCATGAAATGAATAAGCACTTGTCCAGACCAAAGATCCTGATTTGTTAAAATCCCTTGCAGTAGTTCTGAGCAAGCACCTCTTCAGATTCACCCGATGAGCAGCCAAACAGGCCACCTCTGGCGCCAAGTGGCCGCCTTTGTGATGTGTTGGACCATGGGAACTAACGGAAGTTTCCCAAAAAGGAGTGATATGTTTCTTATTGAAAGAGTCAGTCATGCCATTTTCTCCACTGATGGTAGGTAAGATATGATATATTGAAGGGTCATGGTCATGGTCAAAGCATTTCGTAGCATTTCAATCACAGGACCTCATCCATATAGAGAAGGGTGTTTCACCAAATATTCACCATTCCATTGTTTCATAGCATTTCCATCACTGCCACCATTCTGAATGACTTCATTGGAGGTTTGGAGGATGCCACCACCCTTGTGAGTCTCATTGCCAGCTGTCGGAGTCGCTGTTACACAGGTGGATTGCAATGAGTGAACTGTCTGTGGAACTGCGATGCAACCTTTGGCTCCAGGGCTTTGGAGAGGAAGAACTGAGGGAAGAGGAACTTGTTGAAATTCAAGCTTTCCAGCAGCCTGGCGGCAGAAGGGAGCGAAACTGGTCCTGGGATGGTCCAGGGATGGGCAGGTGGGTGTTACGGGACACAGTGCGGAAGTTCACCCTGGGGCTAAAAGTGGTCGGAGGAGAGCGGTGTACCACAGATCAATTTCGTTGTTTTTGCAAATGTTGACAGCAAGCGGTTTCCAGTTATGATTTTGGGATGCACGAACGCGGAATCCAATTTTTGGACACGTAGAAAGACACGTGACACAGTGTTTTTCATTGAATTTTCCAATATGTGCTGAATGTGCTGTTTGCTTAAAGACCATGAGTGCCCCGGTCTTTTGGGGAATTGGGGGGGAAGAGACTTAGACATGCAGATGGTAAAAGACATGCAAAGGGTAAAACCTTCTTCAGAAAGGAACAGCGACAGGGAACTTCCTGTAACCGTCGCCATTGCGGAAACTCTTCAGTCTTCTGCACTGAGCGTGTGTGACAGACGAGGGTGCAGAGGCTGCTATCTGTGAAGAACTCCACCAGGATTGCAAAGAATGGCTGATTGTTGATAGCACCTGGCTGAACAAGCCTTCACAACCTGAATCTTCCAACCATGCAACATTTCTGCCTTTTGGCTGGTTTTATAGATGACTCTTGCACAGCTGGAATATGCAGGTACAGTATACCCTTTGTACGTGATAATTCCGTGTGTTCCAAACCCATGTCAATAATATACAACCCTCCATACGCTTCGATGCTTCCGGTTACGATCGCTCGGAAGGTCATGGCGCGCGGTATCATCAAGCACCTGAAGCGCATGTATGCCGGGGCGCCGGACGAATTGCATATCCTTCACATCCAAAGGATGCAATATCCTGAAGAATTGCATATCCCTCACTCTGCACATCCTGAAGAATTGCATATCCTACCTTTACACGTATTTGTATTTCTTCTACCTTTGCATCTCAATGCAAAGTACTCTGGGGGCGGGGCAAACACGCCTTTGACTCCATGCGCCACTCTAATTATGTAGGTCCTTAACCCACATAACCCACGGTGCGCCAGAGCAAGATTTGGGGTCAATGGAGTGGCGTGGAGCAAAACTTCGAGACCAGGTCTACAAAACTTCAATGAACAGGAAAAGAATCTCCACAGATGGATGACTTCTTCCTATCCCAAACCGCGCCGTTTTGGAGAACCATTGGACACTTTTCTCCACCCAGGCGCCCAAGCAGTGGATGCTGGACAAGCTCCGCGGACGATGGGCCGGCGACCTAAGTGGAGGGAGTTCCGGCATTTGGAAGACGCCAGTGCAACCTGGATCTGAAGAACCTCATTGAGTACACTCCGTTGAACTAACATGGAAGTGGATGTTGCAGGGAGAGTAGTAGTACTTCTTGTATGACCAGATTGTGTCAAAGGATCTCTTTGACTTGTATCATTTCTCGTCCATGCCAATTGGACGTGATCAAGGGGCCCTTCAAGAGTCACACAACAGACAGATTGGTCGAATTGCCAGTGGCATGCATGATCGAAAATCTATGGCCTTCTCTTATCAGAATGTCTCAAGCAAAACAACTCATGTCACCAGACGGGCAACCCTTGGTTTCCAAACCCAACCTGTCGCCATTCCCATGTCGCCCCATGCTTTCGTTGTTGGCTCCGCCAGCGCTACCCGTCCGAGGCGCCCAAGCCCAATGCCGGTCCCCACAAGCTGCGGGAGTGTCTTCCTCTCATCGCCCCTTGGGTTGAAGAACCAAAGGAGCCACAAAAAGGGCGCGATGAAGAGAGAGAGAGGGACGCGTACGTCACCGTTGCTCCGTTGCTAGCTTAGCGCGGACGAAGTAAGCGCGTACGTCACCGTTTCGGTTCTCTGGAGTGATGGGGCGGGTGAATCGAGAATCGTGAACTCGTGCCAGGGCAGAATTGGTGTTCGGAACAAGCATCTAATAAGATCTATTATAATAAGTGTTTGTCTGAAGAATCGTTGATCCTTTTGTTAAGAGAGGCTTGGCCTGCCAATTAGACAGCCGTTTCGCCACCCCAATGTTCGCGCAGACCAAATGTCCGGTGCGGGACTTGGAGGTTCGTCGGTCCCAGTCATCGGGACTTAGAGTGTCTGGGTGTCAGGTCTCAACCCGCCCAGTGCTCCGACAGCCACACGCCGGATCTGAGGTGATGCTGCGACAGCGGTTGAAGTATGCCGTGATCTCAGCGGAGAAGACGAACGAGCGTGTTTGACGTCGGCTCACGGTGCTGGCAATCTGGGTGCTGCACTGGGCAGCCAGGCTCGGTAATTCCACACTCCTCACATGCGCCACAATGGCATATATTTACTACTTGCCGGGCTGACTACCTGGGCGTTTTCTTTCGTTCCAGGTCAGGAGCTGCCAGGAAAGTCCCAAGTCGAAAGCTTACTCCTGACAACCTAATTCTGCGCCGCTTTTTTGTTCTGGCTGAGTTCCTACTTGGTGACTCGGGGGCACCAGGCAAAACCACTTCAGGGACCAAACAAAGCATACTTTGGGGGTGCTTGGTGTGCAAGGGATGTGGAATACGACCTATAGAGTCAGAGGACTTCAAAGACCTGGCAATTGCCAGCTAGACTAGACCGACTAAACAATTTTTTTGCAAGTTGATATGTCGAGTAGTTCACAGCACTTCAAAGCAATTCACGAGCTGCAAAACTCCAATGGGTGATGGAGAAGAGTCTGGAAAGTGACTCAGTGAGTGACCTTCTGGGTGGATAGAAAGTCACATGCCCGTCAGTCAAGCGGTTGTACTGTAGGTCCACTTCTCTTGAGAAGTGCGGTTTCTATATGGGCGAGTGTTGGCAACACCATTGGTAGATATTTGTAGTGTGTTCTCGCAACCTTTTTTACTGCGGCTCTTCAGAACGATTGAACAAATGTAGACATGCCCTGAACAAGCCTTGGCCCAACGTTTGACCCGTTTGCGGCGCCTCAGGCTGGCGGGTGGTTCTGTCTCCGAAACCCGAAACCCGCCGGCCGGTGCCGCCGGCCCCTTGAGGCGCTGACCTACCGTGAGGTGAAGATGATCGTCATGCAGCGATTCATCAAGGTGGTGTGGAGCCCTAGGGGAGCTTCTTCGTCTGGGACCCCTGATTTTTGTTCGACTCGCTTGGTTTGGGGGGGAGGTTGGTTTGCACAGGTGGGCCTGGAGCCAATAAGAGCAGGTCAGGACAAAGCTTCCCGATTCCCAACGTTTCCCGGCTGAACTTCATCTTCTATGCATGTTGGGAGTTCGTATGACCAACGATACAACATGCGGCCCATTGAGATCATTGAGAGGTCTTTCTTTGCAGGGAGGTTGGGTCGAGCTGATGTTTTTCTCAGGTTACCTTTAAACTTTAAACGCAACAATGGGTTTGATGCCTGACCCTTCAGACACTTGCTACAGGTGAAATCTGGAGTACTCACTTACCCAGTGCCAACTGATCGAATTACCACTCTTTCTCTCTCTAATGATAGGAAAGCTGTAGCAGCAGCACTGTCGCAAAACCACGTGGTTCCAACGACAGACACAAAGACACCCGCCCCCCCCGCCCGGTTCCGAAGACGAAAAATAGACACCATGTGGTTCTGCGTGTTCGCCAGCAAATCAGGATGGGAAGGTCCGAAGCGACATGTTCTACCCTGCGGGCTTCATGGATGTGGTCCAGATCGAGAAGACCAAGGACGGTGTTCCACCGTGGGAAACCACCACCGCACCTGCGACCTGCGAGGCTTCGGAGCGGGTGTTCAACGGTGAAACCGGTGCATGGAAGCCTGGGAAAGGAGGCCAAAATTTGGACGTCCAGAGAGAGAAGGATGCTTGGGACTCAAGGTGTTTGGTTCCACTTTTGCCAGCAGGCTGTGAATGTTACCACAATAATTACTAACTAGGCCCGTCCAATCCACCCGCGACCACCTGTTCTTTTGCTCTCAGAACGGTTATATAGACACTGACACCCTTCCATGTCATTTGTCATGTTGTTTCCATCCAAAAGCCACCCTTTGAGAGGAACTCTTCAAAGATTGCAGCGACCGACAGGAGAACTTTCGCCTGCTTTACAACATCAAGGGCCGCTTTATCCTGCACAAGGCAGGAGGGTGTCGCTTCGGAACTTTGCCCCACCCAAACTAAACAACACAAGGGGTACGATTAGGGGAACATGTCTTTACAACATTTTACAAACAAATGCAAAGGGGGAGGGGAGTCAAGGTGAAGCTACAGACCTAGTGCCAGGATAAATTCTTTGCAGGTCTCACCAAACCCTGCTCCTAAAGTCCCTTCAATATCTCAAGATATTCAGATCTCCTATTTGCACTCCTCCAAATCTGCCAAAAGGCATCCCTCAAGACTCCGTCGAACTTTGGCGCTTTTTTGGGGGGTCGGGTCGCCCAGCGATTGTCTGGAACACTCCGAGGTGGCCAAGGAAGAGGCGAATTACAAGCTCTGCCGGGTCAAGAAGATGATGCGAGGTGGAACAAAACTACTTTGCGACTTCTCCGCGACACGCGAGCGGAAGTTTCTTTGTTTTTTCGTTTTCGAGTCGACTCCCGGCCAGTTGGATTCCCGTCGAAAGTTGGGTGAGGAAAGTTGGTTTGAAGACGCGACTGTCGGGCGGAAGAAGGGGGTCGACCCAGAAGAAGGTCCCGGTGAATTCTGGGCTCAGATTGGAGGATTCTTGGCTCGGTTCGGCGCAGATCCTGTTGGCAAGCCTCTTGATGCAAACCACGACTTCGGAATGCTTTCGCCCCAAAATTCCATCAACTTCTTGCTGAAGGCGCGCCATCCAAGCCCCAAGGCCTTTCAGAATTCCATACTGGTTTGAATGGATGGAAACCCCATCTCAGACTGAAAGCATCCAGACATGCCGCAGATTATCACGAACGGTAGATTCAGCCACCATGTATTGGAATTGGATGGAATTGGTTTAAGATTTGTTTTGACATGCCCCGTGGGGGGTCAGCCCCTTGGATGCTTGGCATCCATTTTGCAGGATCCTTTCTGCTATACAAAGATTTGCTGCGTGGAGATAGCGGAGTCAGTTTGCTGCTCTTCCTCTCAGCTGCCAACTGTTTGGTCTTCCTGGGTCCAAAGGGGCTGACGAAGCATGTCTTAAGGATCAGTCTCACACTTCAGCTTTCACACCAGCATGCAGCATGCTCCGTTTCACCCATGGCTTCACCTGACCAGAGTCCATTCATGTCCGTTCATTGGCCGCTCCGGCCGCCAGGCGGTGACCCACGACGGACGTACCATCCGCTACCAGGACCCTGACGTGAAGGCGCCAGATGTCTATATAGTCAGAACCCACCCACGATTGGTTGTTCAATAGACCAGACTTGAGAAGTGTGTCGTTCAACTGTGAAGGTGTCGTGAAGAACCCCACTGTTCCTAAATCTATGATGGGTTCTAACGGGTTTGCGACTAAAGTCAGTTCAATGACAATCGGCGCGTAGGAGAGAGGAATGAAGTTTGAGACTTGGAAGAACGGACAACCTGGACGATAATAACCAGTCTTTTTGAATCTTTTTGTTTTTGAAGCCCATAAAGTTTGATGCCACCGCTTCTTCTACAACTAACGCTCTACCCGCTTGACTTCCATCATAAGTTAAAAATATGTTTCCTTCATTATAGAAGGTCTCACCGAAACCTATGTTGTCGCTGTAGTTTCTTGAACCGTCGTCTTGTAAATATCCATCATTGCTTCGTATCTGTTAAGGTCAGGAATTTCAGCGATGACATTACTACCCACCCTCACCCGCATCCGTTGGAAGACGAATGATGGTTTGGAAGCGGGTCTCAATTCTTCTGTTCCGTTGTTCTCTCCATTGACTAATGTAAAACCTATCAAAAGACTTCGTAGATTTATCCACTCGTTCGCTCCCCCTGTGAGATTAAACCGGATCACTGAGTTAGAGTTGGATGAGTAAGTTGAAACCGATGAAGGGTAGAATGTCTTGATGCGTAGAAACCCTGATATAACTTGCTCCTCCCTTCAATCTGTATCTTAAGACATATTCGTTTAGAGCATCTGTGATTTCTAATGCTTCCATACTTACATATATTCTATATAGAAAATTACATTTTCATCAGGTTAAATCAAAATCATACTTCTTAAATGTATTTTTACCTTCTTGTTGGTGCTCTTACTCGGGGTAGTATGGATGCTATATTTTCATTTTGTTTTATCTCCTTCCGCTCTCTATAATTTTTTTTATTTCGTTGTAGGTCAGATGCTTCTTCCTCTTGGTGGTCTCTTCCTTCAAAAGTTCCGTCTCCTTCTTGTAGTGTCGTGCGTATTCTTTCACTCTGTCTTCCATCATATACTAGAGATTAGATTATTTGAGTGCCAGTGCCTTTACCGACATCCCCGAAATACTTTGCCTGATACTCGTGATTGTAAAGGGGGTTGAAGGAGTTTTTATTGACATGAACGTTCGCCCCTCTGTCAAGCATACTCACCACATCGTTTGACGTTCTGTATCGTTCAACGTTAGGGTCGGTGTTGAAGTTCCAACTAACAAGCGGGGCGTTGTAAGTCCTTACTTTTCATCTTTTGCTCTTGCTGTTGTTGAGTTCCATCGCAATCGCCCCCCCTCAATGTTTGAAACATCCCGATGCTTCTCTTTCTCTGTAGGAAATTCACGCTTACCTTGACCATCCCAGCAATGCTTCTGGTGCCATCCCAAGCGAAAGATTGAAACTTCCGAACTGGGGGGTGTTGCGATCGAGAAACATGGTGGTGCCACCAACAAGCGCTGGCAGAAGCCTATCCCGTTCTCATTGACGTGGCATCTTTAGGCGCTCTTAGCCGTATTGAGCAGCATCCGAGTGCCGTGAAGCAGCACAAAACTCGTCTGGATCAACAGCCGGATGCATACGAGTCTAGTCCACTTTACGTCCACTGAATGTGCAGGGTTGACTCTATATAAATTCCTCCTTGAACTAGAGTAACTAGACTTACTTCTTTTAAAGTAACTATATATATTTACTAAATTCCACCTTGCACTTGATTTGCATCTTTTTGCAACTTGCCGATGGAACTCTCCGTTTTTACGTCGTGGCGGCCGCCTCTCCTTCCTCGTCCTTCAGGGCGGCTCTGCCGGAGCCGAGATTGCCCGGTGCCCTTGCGCCTCCAGTGCCCTCGAGGGAGGCGAACGTTTGGTGTTCATTGGATGGTTGGTTCCACCTGGTGGGTGGTGGACCTGGTGGTGAAACCTCTGGTTTCCTCGTCCGTTTTCTGCGGGTTTCCATCGATTCTTCGGGGGTCGGCGCCGATGATCTGTTTGGGTTCCGGTTTCTTTCGCCCGGAAACAGCGATTTCTTGTTTTTTCACAATAAATGTGGTTATTGGAGCGGTGCCAACTCGGCTCAGGTTGTTTCTCTTCACCAGGATCAGCAGCCAGACCAGTGGGGATTCCCAGTGGATGAAGGGGGTGCTGGAAGGGCTTCTCTTGAGATGACGGATGATCAATTATAATTATGGACATGTCTCATCAACCGTTCTGGCGCTGTTGCCCAATCTTTGTCCTCTACTTGTTTGTGGGTGAAACGAATTGACCCAATCACTGAGTCGATGGGCTAACCTGTACCCTTGTACAAATGACAATTCACCACCCGCAAGCGGAGGAACACCCAAAAGAAAGAGGCCGCAGGGCGTATTTCTCAGTTCTTCAGAACTGCCCTTGGTCATGCGGACAATGTTCAAGTCGCCGGCTTTCTTGATGCTTGGAAGGAAGGTTTTGCTTGCAGGATACCCTCCCTGGACTCCTCCTTGGTTTGCATTCACCTCTTTGGTCCACCATTGGGCCCTCCACCGGTCCTTGCTGTCGACCTAGCGATGCCACCGGGCGGTGCCACCAGACCCTCACAGGGTATGAGTGCACTCACCACTGGTCTGGACTTCTTGAAGCAAAAAGGACCGGGTGGCATGGGCCCACTCTCAAGAAGAGTCTGAATCCTGTACTTCCTGAGTTGTAGATGAAAGATGTGGTGATAAGACTTCAGCTTGGCTGACCTTGGGGGAGAGACTTAAGTTAAAGACAATGCAATCACCAAAGAAGGCCAAGAGAGTCGACCCATCCATGGCAAAATGGGAGAGTCTTTCTGACCTGGGTTGGGATCACTTGCTTCCCACACACGTCCTGCCTTTGGATGCTGCTTCCAATCGTCCCTAATTCGTTAGATGGCCGAATCAGGCACCACTGAGTTGACGGGTTTTCTTCGCACGCCACCAAGCCTGTGAAACTGAGTTCTTCTGTTCCACGCAACTGCCAGAGTCCAAGGCCTTCACAAAGAATGGCCAGCTACCTTGTGCTGGAATGATGTCGGGAACATTCTGCTCGAGGCTGGTGAAGTACATTGCATTGAAGCACTCTACTGGTCTTCTCTTGTTGCTGTTTTTGTTTTATGCCATGCTTTGCAAGCAAGTACTGACGTCAGAGATCTTGGATGGTTGGTGTCACAAAACCAGGTATTTAGTTTTTTCAACAGTCGCCGCTAAGGGACCTTGTGGCCATTTGGCTTCACACAGCATCCCACCTGTTGCTTTGGCTTTGCGGCTCAGCCATGGCGGCGATCGTGAGCCTTCTTGGAAACGCATGGACGGCTCTCTTCGGCGGAGATGAGGCTGGGACAACCATGAACAGTCATCATGAAATGACTAAGAGTAGATTTCCATATTTCTCAAATTTCCAGCTGCCGTGAAGGCTCTTCCTATTCCTCGGTAGAAAGCAGTGACACCAAACGGCTTTGTTTTAGGGGTTGGTACAAGAAGTATCAAGCAGGAATTTTTGGAAAAGAATGGAACAGGCAGGAATCCAGAAACGTGTTGTTTGTTGCAGCCCTAAGAAGTTTTGACCAAGGAACACCATCCAAGCCATGACTGAACATTCTCTGAGTTTCTTTTGATCGACTGCTTCAGGATGAGTCGGACGAGGAGTTTGAGTCCCCACGCTGTGGTAATGCAGCCGGCGCGTCCGGCGCGTCTGCTGTTGCGGCTCCGCTGCCCAAGCTGTTGGGCACGAGCGGGTGTGCAAGTCCCGAAGGGGTGCGGAAGCCTCTGCCGGGGGTGCCCATGACTACAAGGACAAGTGCTACAAGGAACTCTTTTGAGGAGTGGTGTCATTTGCACTTGAATGGCTGTGGAAACAAGGACCTGACGATCCTCCTGTTGGGGCAGACCGGCAGCGGCAAGTCTTCCTTTCTGAATTTGCTGGGCAACTTTCCAACGGTCATGCAGCATGGTCAAGACGCCATCGATGGCAAGATGCAAGACTACCGGAAGTTGGAGTTCGAGAATGATGTGAGAGACCAGAAAGTGAGCAAGACGTCAAACTCTTCCGTCTATCTTGTGGAGGTGGGTCCACTGCGGTTGAAGATCGTGGACACACCTGGCTTTGGTGACACTAGGGGCAGGACCTTTGATGAGAAGCACACGAAGCTTATCGTCGAATGTGTGAAAACACTGGGCCATGTTGATGCCATAGTCTTCGTCATTTCAGGTCGTGAGCCTCGTTTGACAGTGCAGTTGAAGTATGTTCTGATGGAGGTTTGTGCAATTTTGCCAAAAGCTGCAAAGAACAACATTGTCGCAGTGTTCACCAACACTACGGGTCCGCTCTACCTGAGCTTCGACATTGATGCCTTGAATGCCATGGTCGAGAGTCCGGTACTGCCTGAGAGGCAGATCTATATCGAGAACCCATATGTCCTTTGGGAGAGATACAAGCAGAACAAAGGCAAAGTCGATGACGAAGCCTTTCAGATGGATTTGGTGAAAACTTTCAGAGATGCAGGGACAAACTTGGCAAAACTCTTTGTTGCCATGCTGACCATGCCCAGATTGAACACCAAGGAGTTTGAAAGGCTCTATCACTTGAGGCAGACAATTGAGCTGCAGACTATGAAGATCCTTTCTGAGTTGGAGAAGGCTCAACAGGAGCACAAGAACTTGGAGAGGCAAAAGAAAGAGATCGAACGCGCCAAAACAGAAGAAGACATGAACAAGCAGTACAAGAGAAAGTTTGAGAGCACTCGCTGGGTGTTCAAGGAGGCAAAGGAACATGGCACCTTCTGCGGTGTAAAGGATTGCCATTCAAATTGCCATGCACCATGCAAGATGGAGAAGACCATGGACAATGAGAAGTTCAAGAGCTGCTGTGCTTTCGAGTACACATACAAAGAAGTGATTTTGAGATCCAAAGCAGACAGAAAGGAATTCTTGAGAGCCACATGCGCGACGAGCGTGTGCTATTCAAACTTGATCAGGATTC